CCTCCTCCCTGCTAGGGCTCTGCTCGGTGGTGCTGCGTTGGGGACAGAGGGCCATGGGCACCCACGGCCAGGCTCAGCTGCAATAGGGGTTCTGCTCCAACAGGGGCCTCACAGCCCACCAGGGCCTCATATGCTCTCAGGGTGGAAGCTCGGCTTGAACTTTCTGGAGAGGGCCCGGTGCCTCTTGTTGGCAGTGGCTTCCCAGTGTGCCTGGCCCAGATGGCCCTGTCCTCTGCCTGGGCCTTCTCTGGTCCCTGCACCCAGTGCCCAGCCCTCTCCAGAGCCCATGGCTGTTACTCCTGGGGAGCTCCCTCAGAGTGACATCTGCCAACTGCCCTGCTGTGGTCAAGTCCTGGGCCCCACCTCCTTCCCCTGAAGCCTGACCATAGTCCCCGCCCCTGGGGCCCCGGGCTGGGCATACCTGACCTGCCTTATTTCCCTATTATTCCCCAAGGGTGTCCCAGATCTGTGGAGCGTCTCCCTGGGGCCTGAAGCGGCCTGATTCCTTGGGGTGGAGCTCCAAGAGAGGCTAGGGCTCCTCTTCTGCCCAATACCCCCAGGCTGGGTCCTTGCATGCTCCACTTCCTTGGTGAGTTTGGTCAAGACTGGCTGGTTCCCCTGCGGTCATCTCAGCTTCTCAGCTGGGCAAGGGCCCTGCAGGGAGTGATTCTACATCCCTCACTCAAGCAGGCTCAAGAATGTTGAAACTTTGCATATCTAGGTGACTTCTGGGCCTTAGTTCCCTCATCTGTAAAATGGACACAGTTCTTCTGCAGCAGGGCTGTCATGAAGATGAATGAGATCATGTGAATGCTAAGACCCGGATATAGCAGGTGTTGAATGATTGCCCATTCCCTTTCTACCTTCCTCGGACTTTGGACTTTAGAACAACTGCTGGTGTGTCCTGGGGCTAGTGTGCCTGTTTTACAGGTGAGAAGACTAAGGTCCAGAGAAATGAATGCAGGGGCCAACGTTATTCTGGGAGTGGGCGTCAGGGTGTGTGAGAATCTAGGAGGGATGCAGCAGCCCTCTGTCCACCTGGAAGGCTCGTGCTTTGCTTGCAAGAGAGCCAAGGTTTGGGTTCTTTTAGGCAGGGATGCAGGAGAGATGGGCTGCACAGGTGCTTTGGCTTGAGGTCTGTTGGAAAGGCCAGGAATATAATAAATAGGTAATGCAGTAAGACTGATGCAGACAATGGGGCCGGCTGCTGGCTGGGCTGAGATTGTCTTGCCCATTTGAAAATGAGAAAATTGATGTTCAAGCAGGCTCTATGCAGAAACCTGAACCTGGCGCAGCTCCAGAACATGCTTTGTTGATGACGACCCCACTCTCCAGGCCTGGCAAAGTCACCGCTCAGTGCAGAACAGGTGGCAGGATCCCGCCTGTCAACCAGCACCTCCCCTCTTGCTTTTCACTTGTCTTTTTTGGTGCAAAGTCTTTCATGCACCTGCTCAAGTGCAGGTCTGCAGTCACATAGGGCCTCTTGTTTCTGTGTCTAAAAGAAGCGTCCAAGGGCCTGCCAAAGTAACTTTCCTGGAACGTCCATTTAAGAGCTGTCTGGCCCATGTTTTTTTTTTTTTTAAAGATTTTATTTATTTATTCATGAGAGACACGGGGGGGGGGAGAGAGAGAGAGAGAGAGAGAGAGATAAGAGAGAGGCAGAGACATAGGCAGAGGGAGAAGCAGGCTCCATGCAGGGAGCCTTACCTAGGACTCGATCCTGGGTCTCCAGGATCAGGCCCTGGGCTGAAGGTGGCGCCAAACTGCTGAGCCACCCTGGCTGCCCCTGGCCCATGTTTTGAGTCAGGCACTCCTTAACTTTCCTGCTACATTTGGCAAAGATCATCCTTTCCATGGGATGAAGCCCATGCTTGCCTCTGACCTTGGGTTCCTGGTACCTTGGGGCCTGGAGCAGGGTGAGCCCCAGGGGTGTAGGCTGAAGCTGTTCCATCCCAGCACCCCTGTGTGAGTGTGACATGCACCTGCTATCTAGGGCCTAGAAGCTGTGGTTCTCTGGGGGATAGCCTCAGCTGTTAGGAAGAAGAAGGGGCTGTCCCTAAAGGCAGCATCTCAGCTGTACCCCCTTTCCTACTGCTGCACCTGCCACAGCCTCTGGGCAGCCACTGCTGCAGACCACATCCTCTTGTGGTGGCTGCGGTCAGAAATCTGGGTCTGGCTTGTTAACTGGGGACCCCAGAGGGATGAGCTGGGTCTTCCCAGTTGGTGTAGCTGCAGCTCCGGCCCACTCAGTCCTGCCCTTCACCCCTCCCTGGATTGAGATTTGCCAAGGGTGAATCTGGCTCGGCCAGGGGAACCCCAGTGCAGCTGTCCTGGTAGGCCCCCTGCTGAGGGGCCCCATCTCCTCTGTGCCCTGCCCCAGCTCTTCTCTCATGGAGTGGAAGGGGTGCATCTCTATCCAATTACTTCAGCCCTGCTTCCCATGTCAGAGGGTGTCCCCAGCCTCCTGCTGGTCAGTCTCCTGCCCACTCTGTACTCCACAGACCATAGAGACTGCCTGCATCGGAATCTGCCCAGCTCCTTTCTCCCCTCCACCCTAAACTCAAGCTAGCTGGGCCTTTTCATCTCACTGTTGTGCCTGATGTGTGTGTGTGTGTGTGTGTGTGTGTGTGTGTGTCTGGGGATGTGACAAAGGTTCTGGAATCTCAGAACATTCAGAGTCAAGGTCTGGCTCTGTAGCTTCTGAGTCCCCCTCTGAGGGCTTCCCATGAACCCTGAAGACCTCTGCCTCCCTGGTGATCCTGAGGGTGCAGCCTTCCCTCCCCAGCTCTCCTCCAGCAAATGGAAAGAGAATTATATGCTTCTGCAGATGTCACAGACTCACTGCCCTGGTGGGGACCTTCTAGCTCCCTCAACTGATGAATAAACTGAAGCACAGAGAGAGAGAGAGAGTTTCTTTCCTAAAACACACAGCAATTTGGTTAAAGACTGTGTTCTGGGACTTACCAGTACCAGTCAGAGACCTGGGAGGATCAGTCTTTTTTTTCATTTTTATTTTTTATTGCTAATGAGGTGTGGCCAGTCTGGAACTGATGGGTGGGACCGGGGGGTGGGGGTGGGGTGCTTCAGAACATTTCAGTGACTTAACCTCTAAGGTTCCCAATCCAACCGCCTGGAGTGCACCCCAAGAGGACAGTCCAATAGGGGGCAGCAAAGACCAGCAATAGAAGGAGGCTGAACCCCAGAAAAGGCTGGAGCTCAGGAAGGGTAGGCCGGAGGCCAGGGAAAGGTTCCAGCCAAGGGAGCAGGTGGGAGGATGCTGAGTCCGACTCTGGTTCGCACCTTCCTCGGTGTCCACCTCATTCCTGGAATCACCGCCTGCGGGGAGGCGAGGGAAGCGAGTCACTCCAGAGTAGGGTGGGATCCTGACCTGACTTACATTTTTGATGTTCTCATCATCACAGTATTTTTCTGCATTCATTGCGATTTCCATAAATATTGCATTAGATATTATTTATCTTGATTACTGAGTTTTGGGGTCCTCCATTATATTTTACATGCAATGACAGTGTCTTACTCTGCTCACACTGGTTGTGTGCCTGGAACTCCAGGAAACTGTGGAGCAGGTGGGAGTTAAACAGGGGAACGGAGTTCTGGTGGGCTTTGCCAACACCCTGAGGTTCCGGCCTCACCTCACCAGATGGGTTGATCTTTGCATAGTGAAGCCCTGTTTTCCAGGCCCTTTCCAAAGTCAGATTGATACCTGGGAGGGGAACACCACCATGGCAAGGACCTGCGTGGCAAGTGTGGCTTGGTAGCAGGCACAGCTCCTCAACTGTTCCACCAGGAACAATCATCCTAGCAGGTTCTCATCTGGACAGCACATGTCCTTAGAGGGTGGTGCAGTCTCCTTTATTACAGCCACAGCAAGCGCTCCCTCCTGATGGCTACCAATACTAATGTGATTTATATTTGATTCAGACCTCAATATTCCCTAAAGCCCACACATCCTCACGTTTACTTATAACTATATTATATGTGACATAACATCATAGCTATTGCATTGTATGTTGCAAATTACATATTAACAAATAGCTTAATGTCCTATTTTGTTTATAAAAAGTTACTATAAAATAGATGATCGTCACCATGACCAAGTACGATTTATCCTCAGGACACAAGGCTGGTTCAACACTCGTAAAACAATCAATGTGATTCATCATATCAGCAAGAGAAAACCCAAGAACCATATGATCCTCTCATTAGATGCAGAGAAAGCATTTGACAAAATACAGCATCCATTCCTGATCAAAACTCTTCAGAGTGTAGGGATAGAGGGAACTTTCCTCAACATCTTAAAAGCCATCTACAAAAAGCCCACAGCAAATATCATTCTCAATGGGGAAGCACTGGGAGCCTTTCCCCTAAGATCAGAACAGGGATGTCCACTCTCACCACTGCTATTCAATATAGTACTGGAAGTCCTCGCCTCAGCAATCGGACAACAAAAAGACATTAAAGGCATTCAAATTGGCAAAGAAGAAGTCAAACACTCCCTCTTCACCGATGACATGACACTGTACATAGAAAACCCCAAGATTACTAGAACTCATATAGCAATTTGGTAGCGTGGCAGGATACACAATCAATGCCCAGAAATCAGTGGCATTTCTATACACTAACAATGAGACTGAAGAAAGAGAAATTAAGGAGTCAATCCCATTTACAATTGCACCCAAAAGCATAAGATACCTAGGAATAAACCTAACCAAAGAGGTAAAGGATCTATACCCTGAAAACTATAGAACACTTCTGAAAGAAATTGAGGAAGACACAAAGACATGGAAAAATATTCCATGCTCATGGATTGGCAGAATTAATATTGTGAAAATGTCAATGTTACCCAGGGCAATTTACATGTTTAATGCAATCCCTATCAAAATACCATGGACTTTCTTCAGAGACTTAGAACAAATTATTTTAAGATTTGTGTGGAATCAGAAAAGACCCCGAATAGCCAGGGGAATTTTAAAAAAGAAAACCATAGCTGGGGGCATCACAATGCCAGATTTCAGGTTGTACTACAAAGCTGTGGTCATCAAGACAGTGTGGTACTGGCACAAAAACAGACACATAGATCAATGGAACAGAATAGAGAACCCAGAAGTGGACCCTGAACTTTATGGTTAAGTAATATTCGATAAAGGAGGAAAGACGATCCACTGGAAGAAAGACAGACTCTTCAATAAATGGTGCTGGGAAAATTGGACATGCACATGCAGAAGAATGAAACTAGACCACTCTCTTGCACCATACACAAAGATAAACTCAAAATGGATGAAAGATCTAAATGTGAGACAAGATTCCATCAAAATCCTAGAGGAGAACACAGGCAACACCCTTTTTGAACTCGGCCACAGTAACTTCTTGCAAGATACATCCACGAAAGCAAAAGAAACAAAAGCAAAAATGAACTATTGGGACTTCATCAAGATAAGAAGCTTTTGCACAGCAAAGGATACAGTCAACAAAACTCAAAGACAACCTACAGAATGGGAGAAGATATTTGCAAATGACGTATCAGATAAAGGGCTAGTTTCCAAGATCTATAAAGAACTTCTTAAACTCAACACTAAAGAAACAAACAATCCAGTCATGAAATGGGCAAAAGACATGAAGAGAAATCTCACAGAGGAAGACATAGACATGGCCAACATGCACATGAGAAAATGCTCTGCATCACTTGCCATCAGGGAAATACAAATCAAAACCACCATGAGGTACCACCTCACACCAGTGAGAATGGGGAAAATTAACAAGGCAAATTAACCAGAAATATTGGAGAGGATGTGGAGAAAGGGGAACCCTCCTGCACTGTTGGTGGGAATGTGAACTGGTGCAGCCGCTCTGGAAAACTGTGTGGAGGTTCTTCAAAGAGTTAAAAATAGACCTGCCCTACGACCCAGCAATTGCACTGTTGGGGATTTACCCCAAAGAAACAGATGCAATGAAACGCCGGGACACCTGCACCCCGATGTTTCTGGCAGCCATGTCCACAATAGCCAAACTGTGGAAGGAGCCTCGGTGTCCATCGAAAGATGAATGGATAAAGAAGATGTGGTTTATGTATACAATGGAATATTACTCAGCCACTAGAAATGACAAATACCCACCATTTGCTTCGACGTGGATGGACCTGGAGGGTATTATGCTGAGTGAAGTAAGTCAATCGGAGAAGGACAAACAGTGTATGTTCTCATTCATTTGGGGAATATTCATAATAGTGAAAGGTAATATAAGGGAAGGGAGAAGAAATGTGTAGGAAATATCAGAAAGGGAGACAGAACATAAAGAGTCCTAACTGGGAAATGAACTAGGGGTGGTGGAAGCGGAGGATGGCGATGGGTGGGGGTGAATGGGTGACGGGCACTGAGTGGGGTACTTGACAGGATGAGCACTGGGTGTTATTCTGTATGTTGGCAAATTGAACACCAATAAAAAATAAATTTATTATAAAAAATAAAATATAATAGATGATCATATAAAATCGACATTATTTTATTGCTTGACCATGTCTCCAGACACATCCTCTAGTTTTAAGTGATTTTATAATATTCCCCCAATTACCCACTCAGAGGTTTACTCGTGCTGACAAATAGATCCAGACCGATACTACCAGAAGCACATCGAATAGTATCGTTGATAGTGAGAACTGGCTTTACCAATTAGATTATACAGTGTGGCTTCTCCCTAGATTGAATGATTCAGATTGGCAGCCCCAGATTTTGGAGAAAAAAAATATACTTAAAGCACATGAGAAGATGAAAGTATGTTTCTAAAAAAAAATACTGTATTTGCAAAGATGCATGATGATTACAAGCATTTTAATTTTTTCTCAGTCTTTTAAACTCTGTCACACACAAAGTGTCTTTTAGTTAGTTCTGGTCAAGTTCCTTGGTGCATGTCCCTGATATGAAATTAGGAAAGTGGATGACAAATGGCTGGGAGACAGCTCTGTGCAGATGGCCCCTTCTCCCCTGGAAGCTGATTCTGGGATGGGGTCAGACTGCAGGAGGTTTAGGGGGAGAGTGACTGGGACCAACTCGTGTACAAGGGATGGATGGGAAGCAGGGTGGACAGAAGAAGGAGTCAGCTATAGTGGAGCTTTGCTGCTGGGATGGCCCTTCTGAGCTTCTCCAGGTGGGCTGAGAGGCTGGGCCTTCAGACTCATAATGATCAACCTTTGGAGGCCCGCTGCCCAGGGCAGGACCATGACTTGGCTCCAGGTGGCTCTCTTCATCAAGGTTGCTGACAGATGAAGTCAGGGCTGTCTGTGGGCACCTTTCCCAGCAGATGGGGCAATAAGCCCTTCATTCCAGAAAGGGTCTGGTGGTGCATCAAACGGTCTACCAGTTCAAGTCCTCTTGAAGTCAGGTGGTTTCCCATTCTCTGCTTTCAGAAAAATTAAAAGAATATGAAATAGAGCTGCCAGTTGATAGGTCATTGAAAAAAATAATTTTTCACAATCAGCCACTAATGATTTTTGGCATATAGGTAGGAAGAAGCTCAGATCTGTGAGTGAAATTGTATCACAAATCTTCTGTTTATGGGGACAAAGTTTCTTCGAGTTGCATATAAAAATGGAAGCCAGAACAGAAGAGATGCAGGGCCCTGCTTCATTTTAGCAGGACATTATATTCATCTATGGATCCACGTATCAACTCTACTTAATGATTATCTACGTGAAGTTTAATGTTTATGTTGTTTTGATCACATATTGCTATGAATAATTATGATGCAAACCCAGTGTGGCAGAAAAGAATTTAACGCTCAAGATTACAGGCTATGAAAGTAAATTTTAGGGACACCAGGGTGGCTCAGTGGTTGAACGTCTGCCTTTGGCTCAGGTCGTAATCCCAGGGTCCTGGGATCGAATCCTGCATCTGGTTCCCAACAGAGCACCTGCTTCTCCCTCTGCCTGTGTTTTTGCCTTTCTCTCTCTGTGTCTTTCATGAATACGTAAGTAAAATCTTGAGAAAAAATAAACTAAGTTTTATTTTTTTTTATAAATTAATTTTTATTGGTGTTCAATTTACCAACATACAGAATAACACCCAGTGCTCATCCCGTCAAGTGTCCCCCTCCGTGCCCGTCACCCATTCACCCCCACCCCCCGCCCTCCTCCCCTTCCACCACCCCTAGTTCATTTCCCAGAGTTAGAAGTCTTTATGTTCTGTGTCCCTTTCTGATATCTCCCACACATTTCTTCTCCCTTCCCTTATATTCCCCTTCACTATTATTCATATTCCCCAAATGAGTGAGAACATACACTGTTTGTCCTTCTCCGATTGACTTACTTCACTCAGCATAATACCCTCCAGTTCCATCCACGTTGAAGCAAATGGTGGGTATTTGTCGTTTCTAATGGCTGAGGAATATTCCATTGTATACATAAACCACATCTTCTTTATCCATTCATCTTTCGATGGACACCGAGGCTCCTTCCACAGTTTGGCTATTGTGGACATGGCTGCTAGAAACATCGGGGTGCAGGTGTCCCGGCGTTTCATTGCATCTGAATCTTTGGGGTAAATCCCTAACAGTGCAATTGCTGGGTCGTAGGGCAGGTCTATTTTTAACTCTTTGAGGAACCTCCACACAGTTTTCCAGAGTGGCTGCACCAGTTCACATTCCCACCAACAGTGTAAGAGGGTTCCCTTTTCTCCGCATCCTCTCCAACATTTGTTGTTTCCTGCCTTGTTAATTTTCCCCATTCTCACTGGTGTGAGGTGGTATCTCATTGTGGTTTTGATTTGTATTTCCCTGATGGCAAGTGATGCAGAGCATTTTCTCATGTGCATGTTGGCCATGTCTATGTCTTCCTCTGTGAGATTTCTCTTCATGTCTTTTGCCCATTTCATGATTGGATTGTTTGTTTCTTTGGTGTTGAGTTTAAGAAGTTCTTTATAGATTTTGGAAACTAGCCCTTTATCTGATATGTTATTTGCAAATATCTTCTCCCATTCTGTAGGTTGTCTTTGAGTTTTGTTGACTGTATCCTTTGCTGTGCAAAAGCTTCTTATCTTGATGAAGTCCCAATAGTTCATTTTTGCTTTTGTTTCTTTTGTTTTCGTGGATGTATCTTGCAAGAAGTTACTGTGGCCAAGTTCAAAAAGGGTGTTGCCTGTGTTCTCCTCTAGGATTTTGATGGAGTCTTGTCTCACATTTAAATCTTTCATCCATTTTGAGTTTATCTTTGTGTATGGTGCAAGAGAGTGGTCTAGTTTCATTCTTCTGCATGTGGATGTCCAATTTTCCCAGCACCATTTATTGAAGAGACTGTCTTTCTTCCAGTGGATCGTCTTTCCTCCTTTGTCGAATATTAGTTGACCATAAAGTTCAGGGTCCACTTCTGGGTTCTCTATTCTGTTCCATTGATCTATGTGTCTGTTTTTGTGCCAGTACCACACTGTCTTGATGACCACAGCTTTGTAGTACAACCTGAAATCTGGCATTGTGATGCCCCCAGCTATGGTTTTCTTTTTTAAAATTCCCCTGGCTATTCGGGGTCTTTTCTGATTCCACACAAATCTTAAAATAATTTGTTCTAAGTCTCTGAAGAAAGTCCATGGTATTTTGATAGGGATTGCATTGAACGTGTAAATTGCCCTGGGTAGCATTGACATTTTCACAATATTAATTCTGCCAATCCATGAGCATGGAATATTTTTCCATCTCTTTGTGTCTTCCTCAATTTCTTTCAGAAGTGTTCTATAGTTTTTAGGGTATAGATCCTTTACCTCTTTGGTTAGGTTTATTCCTAGGTATCTTATGCTTTTGGGTGCAATTGTAAATGGGATTGACTCCTTAATTTCTCTTTCTTCAGTCTCATTGTTAGTGTATAGGAATGCCATTGATTTCTGGGCATTGATTTTGTATCCTGCCACGCTACCAAATTGCTGTATGAGTTCTAGCAATCTTGGGGTGGAGGCTTTTGGGTTTTCTATGTAGAGTATCATGTCATCGGCGAAGAGGGAGAGTTTGACT